ACATTTGTTTTAAGGGTAACTGATATTTCCCGGTTCTTCGAAACGAATTAACTGGACAATGGTTCAAATATGTAAACTGACGGTTAAAAGTTAAAACCAATCGGTTAAAACCAATCCTCCGTTATGTTTTTAAATTAATAGACTGTGATGTTTGAATAAACTGATGATTCCTTTGTACTTGCTGAGTGCTTGATTTCGAATTTCAAATACAGTACATTCGTTTGCGCTTATATAGTACTTCTAGATCCAATTGCGTTATTTCTGGGATTCTTCATTCGTACTACAATTCAAATACTCTTAAATATCACATAGATGCATATTATCTATTAGATAATTGTCAAACTCATTCTTTCGCCACAAACCTCGCCAAGTTTTCTTATTAAATGCGGAAATTCAATCAAAAACTTATCAGAAAAACACGAGACTTAGCACAAAACGGTATCAATTCAAGTTATAACACGTTGCGAGAACAAATCTAGAAAAAACGTTGGTGATGAAAGTTGACAATTATCAAGTTATCATAATTATTTCAATAATAATTGTTATATGCGGACGAGAATACATGAATGATAACTGTTAGGAATTACTTATGGACTAATATTTGTTATATCTTGTGGCCTGAGTGCCCTGTTAATGGACAACGTAATAATACCGCCAATCAGAGAGCAGTGAATTATCGGTCGGATCAAGGACGCGTAAACACGTACGAGCGGCCTAGAGTCCTGCTTTCCGCCTAGCCCAAGGACGGTTTTGTGCTGGATATATACGTTTTGATTTGTGTTTGTTGTTATCGCTCGTTTCTGGCTGTTTGCGTAATATATATAGGCTTGGACTTCTTCCTCTAGTTAGCGGAGCTGGGACACATCAAACAGCTAGCTTATTGGTTTGTGGTCACCTAGTCTTTGTTCCATTTGCAGTCTAAATGAAAATCGTAACCACTTCAAACCTAGCAATATTATACGTATACTCTTATTGTATGACAATATTATATGTATATGCATATTCCTTTCATTATAAGCTTTTATTTAGCCTACTAACTATTATCATACAATTTACTATTCTTGAGATATTCCCAATTTATTAGTATCAGGTCCCACAATCACAGCCACATTTGGCCTGATCTTGTAAAAATGCTAATTTCTATTTTATGGTCTGATTTGTTCATATATAAACTACCTTTGTTTGAAATATGATTTGTATTGCAGAGGCTGAGATCGGCTTTCTAGACTTAACAGGCAGGGCTAGGTGGAAAAAGACCAATCGGAACTCTAGGCTGCCCGCACTGGTGTATGTATCATTGGTTTGGTCGTATAAGTCAGCGTATCCAAATTAACAATCATATAAGCTAACCACATGACAAGAATAATATTAGAGAAATAGTACAAAGTTACTTAAACTAACAGAGTCAATCTTCTTAGTATATTTTTACTAGCAGCACTTATTTCACAATTATACTGAGTTAGATCATTGAACAAAATTACGATGACATAGAATTGATTCATTTGTACTGGTTATTTGAATCTTCCTGTTGATGTTTATGACTGCAGTTGGTCAGTCTTTTTGACATAAATGAGAATGGCACTGAGTTCGAGTCCCGAAGTGTACATCAAATATTGGTTGCAAGTACATCCAGCTGACAAGCCTGAAATAGGGCGAAACGCACGTCATGGGTCGCACTACTAGCCACCATCCATCTCTGTTTCAGCAATTCAATGTTCACTTCTTTGATTAATAAAGTTATAAGCTTTAGGGCGTATCCATATACACACTATTATAATCAATGTTGGTCATAAGAAAAACTAGATTCTGGGTACTCTCGTATATGGCTTACAACCAATTAGTGCAAAACTCTGTATTCTTTCTACGGCCCTTTTTCATAGTTTGCATCATGGGATGAATGTTGTTAGACGACTATTGAAAACCAGGAGCTAAAGGACAGCTATTTTGTTCCAATGTAGGACTCCTTATCGATGTGCACTCATAACTTAACCATAAGATATGGAATCTAGTGCTTCCTGACTTCAAATGGTGATCTAATTAAGATGCAAATTACTGATAACTTAACAGTCTCTGCTTGTAATTTACATCACAAAATAATTGTAATTAATCAATTATTAGATATCAGTAAGTAATGTACACCTATTTTGTCCTAGTATGAAGCATCACAACAAAATAATAACTTGACACTTTTTGTTTATTAAATTGAAATAGAATAATTTGTGACTATAATAAGAAGCAGTGAAATATTTTCAACAAAACATATGTTATCCAAGACAAATCTATCACTGTTGACTAAGGAATAAAGGTGTTTCGAAACCGTTCCATCATAATAATTATTTTCCATACACCTATATAGCAGTTACATTTTGGTGATGTTTTTCTCCATTGTTAATTAGTATTATGTATCCTTTTCATGTAACATTATGATTATGAAACTGAATATTAGTTTCAATACCAATTTCTATGTTTCATGTATCTAAATTTAATGAGATTTTTTTTATCTATTTGTTGTTTTCCTTGAATTTCAATACATTTTATTCAGTGCTAAAATTTAAAAAATATTATGTTTTAGTTTTTGTTACCATGCGAATGGATGTTTTGTTTCGAATAAATAAGTACATATGTGTAATATTTTGATGATAAGGTGATTACAGTGAGATTGAATCCAATATGCTAGATGAGTTAAAAAAACAAACACACCCGGCTAGTACTACTGGCATAAAGAGCCAATCAGAAGTAGCCTAATGAGATGGCCAATTGGTAGCGATTCGAAGTAACCTAAAGGTTAAGTGCATTTCATTAGCTAAGAGATGGATTAATTTCGTCAGGATTAGAGTGATATGTATATATGAGTATTTGTGCATTTTATTCAGTAGATTCATAAGATAACAACAGTAAATTGTCCTTGTTATATGTAGGCTAGCCTAATCATCACCAAATACTTACCATCGATTGGTCACTGTGTAGTGATTGATGTAATGTACGTCAATTCCTTCTTGAGTGCTGATCGAATCCTACCGATCAAGTTTCAATGTAGCCATTAGTACAACTAGACATCGCAAGGACAATACTGAGATGTAAGGTGGTAGTTAGAAGTAGTCGACAAGAAACTTGGGACACATGTTTGCTGCTATTTAGTTAATTGCGGCCTAAATAGCTGTGATAACGTCTCTGAATTCGAAGCTGATTGACATGGGATCGAATTTACCAGGGTGCTTCAGTTCTCTCTAGATAACAGTTATACCTTGCTAATGAGTGCCAAATAACACAACACCTTGATCCAGGGTTTTCCATCGACTATCTTCAACCATCAACTTACATTGATAATCGTTTTAAATTACTCTGAGACTTCACATCATTTAGAATCTAAAACTGCAAACGGGACGGTGACGATAGTTGAAATAACTAAGCCATTGATTTGAATTTCAATGGTCAGTACTTCAATAATTTGAAAAATGCTTTAGAGTTATCGTACTCTCCATGTCTTTAGGTTCAACCCTGTGTGTAGTTTACTTTAATATTATAAAATTTTGAAAACATATCATAACACAGAAATTTAAATACTTGTCCGGTTTTATCGTAGATCGTCAGTTTCTGAGACAAAATCGTAAAGTCAAGTATCATTGAATTTATTATAGATTTAAGCACTGAATTATGAATTTTAATAATTGTGTAAATACTAGTGATACTATCTGGCTTCCGCATTTAAAATAACTGGAACACATCTCAAATAGTTTTGCAAGTATTTTTAATCATTGATCGTAAGAGAAATTTAATAAATATACAATAATTGATGAGTTTATAAGTGTCAATGTCAAGCCTAGACTTGGTAGTTTTAAACACATTGAATATTGGGTAGAAAGTTGATAATAAATATATTTTTGTTATATTCAAATGAGTACGAAAATTGAATTTTTTACGTTTCATGACCTAATCTGAAGAAGTGGCTTACATTACGTCATGAAACGTCAGAAATACAATTTTTCTACTCATTGGGATATAACAAGACAAATTTTTATTATTAAGTGTACGGTAAATTGATTTTGTTACCAATAATAAGGTTTAGGAACTGAACTAAAATTAATTTCGAAAGGTTAGATCTAAAACATTTTGAATTTCTAAAAATTCGGTGTGCTTGATGAGGAAAAGTCTGTCTTAAATTTTTAAGACGCAAATCTAGCTACTTACGAGTAACATAAACGTATTTAAAAACTAAGAAAAATACGCTCGGTCAGAAAGTATTTTTGTTACTCTGATCCATAACGCTGATAATTAGATCATGCAATATATCAAACTGCAACGTACCACAACATATACACAAATAATTTGAAGTAAACTACGTACGATAATGACTTAATAATTTACGGATTAGGCAATAGATTTGGTGTAGAATTGTAAACAAACTATTTTTTACTTATTTTTACAGGAAGTTTAGATATAAAAAGTGCTCTCCAGATTGCCTCCAAATGCCCTGGTATGGTCGAGAGTGGGGTGGGCTCGCCCTCCCTCTTGAAATGCTCTCGTGGCCACGCGTATACAGACTCTGCCAGGGAAGTCCTATTCACTGCATTCTCGTGGCTGGGGTGTTGTTTACGAAAATGGTAGGACGAAAAGTGAATGTCCGGCACTTTAACCGGATCCCAAACCAATGGTGCACATAGGCTCTAGTATCCTGCGGTAACAAATGGCGTATGAACCAATCGTTGGTCACCGGCTACCATGGGGCTGCATCTCCTCACGATGCTTCATTGCCTTGGGGATCAGACCTTTAGGTCAAAAGCTCGGGGTGTGGCCCCCAAAAAAACTACCTGCTTCAGTCTGAGCACCCGAGCAGTATCCCAGCCCTTACATGAATCGAATGACTTATGTGGCGCATATGTATTTGGTGCCTCATTGAATCAATGTTTATGTGTTTAAATAAATATTTGGTGCCTCCTCTCCAGATTACCTTCAAAAATCTAACACACAAATTTCAACAAAACAAGTTTACTTGTAAAAGAGGTAACAAGGTTAGGGAAGAATAAAACAGCTCAAATTTACAAAATACATAGTTTTTCTGTACAAATGCATTTTATGAGATAACATTAAGAGAGTTTTGATAAGACATGCATATGACAAGAGCAAGAACAATCAGATTTATTAGGAAACAACTCAGAGGGATACTTTGGAGTGACGAAACCACACGTATGTCTTTGACAGGAAGAGCAAGCAGTGGAACAACCACTTGTGGAAGACGTTCGACGTTCGTTGCGAGAACCTTTAACATCTGCTGATATAATATGGTTAGAGTGAGTTGTTATATAACCGGTTCGACTAAGATCAACATTATTGCACCTGACAAACAAAAAAATATTTTGTTTTTTTAAAGAATAATAGTTATTTAAATAACAATTAAAAAATTATATCTTTTAAAAATACTTGTAGAAGTTTTTACAAAAGAAAACGATGTCGAACGATAAAATGAATACAATTGAGAGTCAACTGATATTTTATTTACCTAACAATAACCAAATAAATTATTTAATATAGTAGCCGGTCCAGATGACTATTCGATAAAAATTAGACCAAAGAGCCTTCGCACAGAATACAACAAACAGCTTGGATGCAACTAGACGATTCGGACTTCGCATATGAACCAGCTCTTCTATCCCATATACACCAACAAATTCAGGTCAAGACAACTAATGTAGCACCAGACTCTGAAGAAGTACTCAACATACACAAGGGAAAATCCAAGATCCTCAAATACAAAACAGAACACCAAGCCAATCACACTGGATGGAGAAGCTCTGGAACAGGTGGAAACTTTCACATATCTGGGCAACATTGATGAACAAGGAGGATGACTCAAATATGAAGGCACAAATTGGAAAAGGACGGCATTCCTACAACTGAAAAGTATATAGGAATCAAAGCAACTGTAAACCAATATCTTAACTTGGAGTTCTGAACACAAAAGGAAAAGGGGAGGACTAAAGAACATATTACTCCAGGAATCGGAGGCAGACATCAAAAGAATGAATAGTAACTGGAAAGGATTGCCCAGGACAAAGTTCGATTGAGAAAACTGATGGGCGGCATATGCTCCTCTACGAGGGGTAACAGGCGTAAACAAGTAAGTAAAGAGATTTCAGTAGGTTTGTGCACTTTCTACGATAGATACAAGTTGTTGGTGAATGGAGTCAGACATAACCTTCATGTCAAGAAACAGTACTGTAATCAGGAGTCGGTAAGTATTTCTATGTTCTAGAACCTGTTAAGGAGTGAATGGTTGATTTATCATATGTGAATAGGCTTGAAACCAATTCGCTTTTTCAGACTCATTGTTCACTAGGTCCACTTCTGTGCAGTATGATCATAACACTAAGTAGCATTCTACATTTTTATAGTTGGAATTCTGTGAAACAAACCAGTAGAAAACTATTGTAAATCAGTCTACTGAAAATGGATATAAATATTCCCTATAAATTAGTATGAAAAAAACAATTTCAGATGGACACAATTGCTGAAGTATTACTATCAGTGATATAAGAGGTTTTAAATTTAAAGGTTCATTTAATTGATTTCTATCAAAGAAAGTAAGACGGTTATCATGTAAAAATTGATTGACTGTATAATCGATGTTTTTAAAATATTCAATTACATTGGAACATACAATTACCAAAAATAATAATCTAATAGTTGTTCGATCATTAACTAGTTTTCTTTAAAAACTAATCGCTGCATATTAAGTAATGCTATTTTAAAAATAAACTTACTTAGGAGTGGAACAATACTTATTCTGATATAGTTTACAACTGCATGAGCATGATAAGCTCGGATGTGAGGGACACACCATTGTAAAGTGATTGTTGATATCTTCCTCACAACGATGCGCTATCGATGAGCCACATGATCGATGTCCAGATGAAGTGAAATCGGATGATGCATATTTTGAGACAAAGTCTTTGTTTAACCTCAAATTAATTGGTGGATCACATATATCCGAAGACACTGGAAATGTTTGTACAGTTTGTGTGGCTTTACAAAACGTCGTTGGTGGAGATCTTTTTCCTTTGCTATTTACGTTGGAAATCTCAGGTGAACTTCCAACTTCATGAAACTAAAGTGCAAATAAAAGTGGAAGATAAGCGAGACTGTTTCAATGAATGCATAGGTAATGGTAGTGTGGATCTGTTGCCTAGAGAAAGACTTCTCGACCTTGAGTACGAGGATGATATTGTCTTACTGTGCGATAATGCCCAAGCCATGCAATCCGCACTTAATCAGTTCGTAATCAATGTCCGTAGGTACGGTATGTGCTTTGCATCTTCGAAGTGCAAATTAATTTTACAAGACTGGCAGGATCTTGAACCCGCGCTCACCCTGGGTAGTGAGCAGATAGAAGTAGTCGAGAAGTCCGTGTATCTAGGTACTTGCATAAGTGCTGGTGGTGGCGTGAGTGATGAGAGCAATCCATTTATAATGAAAGCCAGAGCGGCTAATGTCAATCTGGGCCATCATTGGCGCCTTCGTGATGTTAGTCTGGTCGTAAAAGGTCGGATCTACAACGCGTCGGTGAGAGCAATTTTGCTCTATGCTTGTGAAACCTGGCTTCTCCGAGTTGAGGATGTTAGACGACTCTCTGCGTTTGATCATCGTTGTCTCCGAAGGATTGCTGACATCCAGTGGCAACACTATGTTAGTAATGCAGAAGTTCCGCATCGTATGTTCGGGCACAACGACAATAATTCAATTGGCGTCGGTACAACACAGTGGCTTGAGACGTTATCAGAAATGGCTAAGAATAGAAGCCAGTGGTGATCCTGTTGTAACTTTCGTTTACCTTTTTTGTAAAAAATAGACGTAACTTCTTTATCTGAAAGAAATATTTCTGGTTGTACCTTTGCTAACCGAAACGCCTCTCCCATTATTATTTCACTACCATACACGTTATTGTTCTCCCTTTTCTTATACATCTTTTACGTTCCCTATCTCACATACTCACTGTTATGGTGTGGCGTATTTGGTGCCCCTTTGTGCCAATATTTGTGTTCAAATAAATAAATAAAATAGCAAAACTTTTCTTTGGCGAGCGTAATTTAGTACTGAAATGCAGTGAATAAAAGTACACAATATCAGCTACGTGCATAAATTTGTATACGATCTACATGTCATATATTATGAAACAAAAACAAGATATGTGTTCTAACATTATAAAACAAACCTCAAAAACTGTTTAGAAACTTTTGGTTCACCGTACTAGAAGTTCACGCAAGTTTTTATGTTGTTTATCAAATGATAATTGAAACTTTGTAGTCCAGTTATAATTTTATCAACTGATTCGTGCTAAGTCAAAGTTAGAAACATATTAAAGTGAAATATCCACCCTACGGATATAAAATGGGAATAAACATGTTCTACATCTTATTGTTTACACAACCATCATAGTGTGTAACAAGTTACGTCAAGACAGAAATTTGACAAGAAAACCGATCGGATTTCTTTGATATAAACAGAAAATAGTTGATCACATGTTGACTTCAGTGACATAAATGAAAGTTAATTCAAGTTAAACAATATCTTAAATGTGTTCTATAAATACCCCATTCACAGAAAATACTACAAAATGAGGTCACTGATCCACAAATCTTGTAAAGTAAGATACATTAACAATCACCTACGAATTAAGAAATTTTGATTTTCGACAAATTTACAAGTGAGATCAGAAAGATTTTAACTAAGGAGCTAACGTATTTAGAAATTGATATACTAAACACATGAAATCACACCATGAACTATGATATTCAAAGTCATTCAGAAGCATAGCAAATATTTACTAAAATAAGGATTTATTTACTAGTAAACAAGGTGTCATTTCTCAAGAGTTCAGTTCCATACGAGTAAGTTTAAAAGGAATCAAGTGATGTTCTGAATTTCTTATATCTTATACGAGTCAATCTAAAGCCACAGATACTATAATTTACAAAAACACTTATGAAAGCTGCGAAAAGAAAAGGGACTAAAACTGTTAAAACTTACAGAATTATCATATATCCTGCGTTCGAATCGAATAGCAGTGAGTAATTTGGTAATCATACTATCTATACCGAGAAGCAAATCTCTCTGTGTATCACTGGACATCGCTATCAAATTTCTATACACTCCATAAACAAACAATCTAAAACAGGGATAATTCACGACTCAGTATTTAAATAACACTTATGAAAGCCTTATATCAAAGATATATAGTGAGAGATAATTTAAGACAAAACAATAAGACCAGCCACAAATCTTCAGTTACGCAAAATAACTCAGCAACTAAAGAGGTTTATGCATAGAGCTGTGATTTATAACGATTGTATGAGAAGTAATGAAATTACCTAGCTGCCCAGACGATGGTATATATGTTGTTTCGGGTCTCCAACAACAAACAATTAGACTGGGTTTAAAATAAGAAATAGAAACAATTATTATATGGATATGTTCAGCGTGATGTGGCCGAATGATATAAGCTTGTTTTGTAGGTTAATAACCATTGTTCGATGAGGCATTATCTAAGATGAATGTGCTTACTGATTGATAGGTTATTCAATCTTCATTATTTAGAAACAGTACAAAGTATATACGACTGGGAACAAGTACGGATGGACAAGCCCCAACTTATTAAGCCCAAGTAAATGAGGAATGGCAAACTAGTTTCAAAGACTTCCACCAAACAGGTATCTGGTCATACTGAGAACTACCATTGGGTGGATTAGACAATAAAATCAACCAGACTCAACGTATGAATACAATACACTAATAAGTCGAGATCTGTAACACGTATGCAGCTATCCTAACAGGATTGATATACCGCTTTAGCTTTTTTCACTCAATTATATACTTGAAGTGGAGATTGGAGAGCTAACAAATACGTGTTTGATACTAACAGAACATCTGGTTATTTGGAATATTCCCGAACTGGCATTCATGACAGGAAAACTACTAAGGAAACAACCCCAACGCAAGGAATATCTTTCAGTTAAGTACTAAAATAGGTTATGTGAACCACGAGTGAATATGTACACATTTACATGACAAGAAAGGTGAGATTTGCAAATATACAAAAAGATAGACCTAAAACGACGAAAAAATAACTTTGGACAAAAGAGTCCGTAACATTTTTCACGACGTTAACGATATTACCCATGTGGTATAAAAACATCGAGGAATTTCTTTAGGGTAATCCTTGAGCAACTATATTTCACCATCTTCATACTCGAGTGGATAAAACGAAAGCATCTCTAGTAGAGGGTTAGCTTATAAGATACTAATTCGACATAGAGATAGTAAAATATGCATAACAAAACAGACCCCACTAAACAAACTATTATAACAATCCATACAAACACAAAGCCCGCCAGTGTTTAGTTAACCCGCTTCCATTAGATTTTTTCTATTGCCAGTTGGAATAACACATGTGAAAAACCGATATCTTTATGGTAAACTGTTACTATTGTGTTAACGTTTCTTTCTGTCTTTACAAGCAATATCTTCACATATAGGCGTCTTAGAGGTGATTTATTAATGGCTTATAGTATTCTTAACACTTCTGGAAATCCTCTTAAACACCTACTCAAGCTTAGTTCGAATACTAACCTAAGGGGTAACACCCAGAAACTGGAAACTCAATATAGCAAGACGGGATGTAGACACAACTTTTACTCCTTAAGAGTTGTCAAAAGCTGGAATTCGCTGCCCGCTGAGCTAGTCCAAGCGACTTCTCAGGAGTCCTTCAAGAGGCAACTTGACCTATTCTTAAGGACCAAAGACAGTATCATACTATGATTTACCAATTTGTTTTCCTCTTTTATTGTTAACATACCTAGGTTCCTGCCTGGAGGATTTGGTGATCCCCTGCTACTAGACACGGAAGCCTGTTAAGCGAAAGCTTCTTCTATTCCGTCCACAACCATTTGAACCATTTGAGTAAATATTATAAAAGCTCCTGAATATCCTCTGAAATACTTGTACAGAATACGTTCTAATATTAAATTTAATAGTAAAACTCAAAATTTAAACTTCTAGTTACTCAGAGGTAGTGACTATAAGTGCTACCTTTTGAGAGCAGTAAAGTGTAGGGATTTTATACTGTCGGACATGGTCGATCCAACATTTCAAATTCCTTGATATTTCATCCTGGAAACTAAATATAGTATCTCGCGTTAATCTATTTGTGTTTTTCTTTACCTACAGACACTTCCTATAGCAAAACTAATTCACCATTACTACGCAAGAAAATATTTTATCAGGAAAACTGTTGATTTCTGGAACTGGAAAGTTGTCGTATGACAAAAGGCTGATTCAACTGTATTTATTCCCATTGTTGTAGAAAAGGACTTAAGGAGCTATAACTACAATATTTAAGTCATTTATTAATAATTTCATATATGATGTTCCTTCGTTTTTATTGTCTTTCAAATAACAGAAATTGTGAGTGAACCTCAAAAATTCCACAGGCCCGGAAGAAATTGAGTGGATCTCTTACTTGCTCAACGCTTGAATAATTCTAGACAAAATGGAACCAAGTACATGACTCATGTTATTATGACCAACAAAGGTCACTTAGCTAATTGTTCTTTTAAAACTGAAATTTTTACTACAATGAGAAAGATCACACCATTCGAATCGAAACCACCAACTGCTTATATACAAACGCTCCAACTTTATGGAACAAAGTGGATGAATAGCACAAACTAAGTAAAGATGGAAACACCCATATGATATAAATACCTTAAATATCAGCACCTTAGACTGCAGACCAGTAGCTAGTAATACACGGCATATCTTTGTTCTGCAGTGGGGATAAAACAAGAAAGGGTGCAGAGTGACTTTGTATTTACGAAGTGAATTGGTAGCTAGTGTGAAGTTAATTGTTTATCAATCCCGGCGAATATATGAGGTGCTCATATATATTGTCAAGGCATTTCTTACCAAGATAAGTAAAGAACATACGACTTGAAAAGTGTCAACATCAGAAGTTTCAAAAAGAACAGTCTCAGTTCCATTCCTGTGTTTTGAATCTTACCAACGACTTTTTAGATAAACTTAACACTTGAGCACTTATGTATGCAGACACCGTCAAGATCTAAGGGTCCATAAACCATGGAGAGAATTCACTTAAGCTTCAAAAGAATGTTGCAACGTAAGAAGGGTATATAGACAACAAACTAAAACTTATCTGTTGAGATGGCATGTCACGCCTCGTTTGATACGATTAACTTACGTCCTCCATAGGAATCAGATCCCGGTTGCCTCATATAAGCGATACCTGGCTTATAACTACAGAGAGGTTTAACACCAGTCCAAAGTACACAGCATATGTAGCCAAGGCAAAAACAACTCACCATATTATGTGTAGATACCTCGGAGCTGTCTCAATCAATTGTTGAAACTTACGAAACGCTTCACGATATCTGCCTCTTTTGTTATCATCCTTGCTTTCTTCTCGTTCCTCTAACACCGTCTTCTCGCACATTACGAGTTACTCGACTTGTCTGTTATTCGTGAAACAAAAATCTTCTCTTTAACACTTAAATTATCATTTTGTCATTATTTTCACATTTTGAACAATCAGCCTCCTGACTGGTAATTGTATAGCTGCTGATATCAATAATTTTCACTGTCCTGAGATAAACACACACGCTCAAACCTCTAGGTATACAAATCGACAAATAACTAGAATTAATGTAGTCAAATAGTTACACTACCAACTATTGAATATAACAACGTATCTGAATCCGTACTGATATTACAATCAGCAAACTCAAAGAAATCAATTGCTTGATACAAGCTCGTAAAAAATATATCGAAGATATTGGGGAAGCCTAACATATTCCTAGGAATTCAGAAGAGTATTTTACTAGAGTTAACTAATATTTCTCTGTTTATTGTTAAATACAACCATGTTCATATCTGAATGCATAGGTGATCTACTGATACTAGATATGAAAGCCGGTTAAAAGAAAGCTTCTTCCATTCCTTCCATAAACACTTGTTTGTTGTACGTTGTCTTGACAATATAAGCGGCGCCTTATTTACTTGACAGTAAACACCATAATAATGTTAACAATTATTCATAATCTACATCTGTCCGGCATTTGTTGAATTATTGATTTTCTCTTTGTTATGCGCCTGAGTTTTATATTCGGATTTTCTAGACAGATATATGCAACTGTCCTCGCTAAATTTATACACGTTATTTTTCAAGCTGCTGTTAGTAACCGAAACCTTAAGTCCAGCTTGAAGTTTACGAACAATTAAACTGCACAAAAATACTTATCAATATGATGCTTTCACGCTCTAAACCTGCTCTCCAGAGACAAAAGGCTGTTCCAATACAATCAAGAAAGATTCCAAATTTAATTGAATTCGTTGACAAGCGCGATTTCTCCGGGGCACTTACTCTTTCGGAGTTTGAGCGCTGCTGTGGTAATTCCAGTATTGAGACAGACCTATGGGTAGCATACTCGGCTTTTCATTTGGGAGAATACAAAAAAGCCGCCGATGAGTATAGGAAACTTCTCGAAAAACCTAATGTGCCTCCAGACGTTCACACGTATCTCGCATGTTGTTACTTTTTCCTCGGAATGTATCAGGAAGCAATGAAATCTGTTAAAGATGGCCCAACATGTAGACTACAAAGTAGACTTTTGTTCCACATAGCTTATAAATTAAATGACGAACGCGGCCTTCTCAATTACCACAATTCGTTAGACAACTCAATTGAGGATCAACTATCGCTGGCGTCAATTCACAGCCTTAAAAATCACCATCAGGAAGCTATTGACATATATAAACGCATCTTACTGGATAATAGAGAATACTTGGCATTAAATGTAAACATAGCTTTATGTTACTATAAGATGGATTATTACGATATATCTCAGGAAGTATTGGGAATATACCAACAACGTTATCCAGATAGTGCAACGGCCATTAATCTAAAAGCATGCATCAACTTCAGGTCGTACAATGGCAAGGCAGCCGAAGCGGAACTAAAAGCTCTTCACTGTGTTTCTACTTCATCATTTACATTTGCACAAGACCTCATTAAGCACAATTTAGTTGTGTTCCGTAATGGAGAAGGAGCTCTGCAGGTAATATTGAAATTAAATTCCATAATGTTTTCTAACATACATGAATATTGTCATTGTTATTATATGATAAGATCCTACTATATATGTAGCTTCTTGTTGCCAACCTTAGAACTGATTTATGACCAATTTCCTAGTACATTATTTTTTTAAAATGAAGGGCTAGTTTATTTAAATTTATTGAACGTGTTTCGATTTTTATTATTGTGAGTGAAACCTCAGGTTATGTGACACAAATTTGTATTAGATGGTAAGTCTTTCTGTCATTTACTTACAAGGAGTAAGAGTGATTTAATCACAGACTAAACTCTCTATAATGTACGTATCTTCTATTTAAATGGGTACTGGGAACGGATTCTGGACCCTAGTCGAAACTTCAATACTAAATGAAGTTTTGATGCGTCGTGTGAAAATTCAAGTGTGCGCGCACCAAAGGCTTATCGGCACTATATCCGCTTACTTATTGATGTTTAGAAAAAAATTCTTGCATGGATGGGCTACTGATTATACTTTTTAAGGGTTAAATGCGTTGATTTAGGTGAGGAAAGTACACGTGAATAAGAATCTTGTAGTTACTACACGGTCCATAGCTCCCCATATGCTGTTGTGGGAAAACTTCTCGATGTTATTCAAGAAATGTCCTACCAATGACTTCCTATTTGCCAGTAACATCACTTCGAGATACATTTACAACCTAACAGTATGGCCAATCTGGTCTTACTGTACTTTTCGTTATCCTTGTCCCCTGTGTTAATAAGTTAAAAAACTGGAACTGACTCATTTCTACCTGATCTTCAATATTTCGTTGTCAATAAATTTAAACTGTTCAAAGACGACAGAAATGTGATATTTTCTATCACATATAAATAGGTAATTTCATTGAAAACCATTTAATAGTTTATATCACTAAAATAGTCGATTATCTCACCAAATTACAATACAGTGAATACATGTATATTTTTTAGGTGCTACCACCCTTGTTAGACGTCCTGCCAGAAGCAAGACTTAATCTCATCATCTTCCATTTGAAAAATGACGAACTACAAGAAGCATATGAACTTACCAAAGAAATCGACCCTAACACACCACAAGAATATGTACTAAAAGGAGTTGTGAATGCTATTATGGGTCAAGAGCATGGGTCACGTGAGCACTTGAAGCAGGCTCAACAGTACTTCCAGCTAGTGGGAGGATCAGCCAGTGAATGTGATACAATATCTGGACGTCAATGTATGTCTTCTTGCTTTTTTCTTCTTCGACAGTTTGATGATGTTCTTATATATTTAAACTCGATAAAAAGCTACTTTTATAATGACGATATATTTAATTTCAACTATGCCCAAGCTAAGGCAGCTGTAGGAGCCTATAAGGAGGCACAAGAAGTGTTCTTGCTCATTCAATCAGAACATATTCGTTCAGAATATACCTATTTAAGTTGGCTAGCAAGGTGCTACATAATGACTAAACAAGCTCGTTTAGCATGGGAGCTATACCTGAAAATGGAAACTTCAGCCGAATCCTTCAGTCTGCTACAGTTAATAGCTAACGACTGTTACAAAATGGCACAATTTTATTACGCCGCTAAGGCATTCGATGTACTAGAGAGATTGGACCAAAACCCAGAATACTGGGAGGGTAAACGTGGAGCATGTGTCGGTGCCTTCCAACTCATAATAGATGGACAAGAACCCAAGGAAAGACTTCGAGAGATAATCCAAATCTTGCGTAATACAAATAACCCTCAAACAGAATATCTTATACGTGTTATGAAGAAATGGGCAAAAGAAAACAAGATTGTTGTTTAATGACGACCATAAACTGTTATATGATTTATGCGTGTATAATAATTAAACGAATTCATGAATTCTTCGTAAATGTTTGTTATTCTTAACGAAATCTGAGACGATAGTTAATTAGGAGTATAAACGTAAGAAATCATCTATCAAACGCTGAAAAACCCTTCAAAACTAGAGTTTTCTCAAAAAAACTATTTGTATTGATGTAATTTGACTAATTTTTTATTTACTATAAATATACAACAAACTATCCTATCAAACGATTGAACACCATATTGTAAGAAAGAAATGATACAAGAACTTAGCCTGCATATTCAAATATCTAGAAGCAAGTGTCGCTTTTCTTTGCTCGTACGTTTCGTTACTGCCCCCAAATGCCCTTGTACGGCCGAGAGTGGGGAAAGTTCGCTCTCCTTCTCCAAATGTTCTCACATGGCCACGCGTATATAGCCTCTGCCAGGGAAGTCCTACTCACTGCATTCTCGTGGCGGGGGTGTTGTTTACGAAATTGAGAGGACGAAAAGAGAATGTCCGGCGCTTTAACCGGGTTGGTGGACACGGAGAGTCCACTTAGGAGAGTTGGGAAACCCTGATTCCAAACAAATGGTGCACATGGGCTCCAGTACCCTGAAGGAACAAATGACGTATGAACCAAATATTGGTCACCGGCTACCATGGGACTGCATCTCCTTACGATGCTCCACTACCTTTTCGATCAAACCTTCAAGTCGAAGGCTCCGTGTGTGGCCCCCTAAGAAAACCACCTGCCTCAGTTTGGGTACCCGGGCAGTATCACAGCCCTCACACGTATCAAATGAGATATATGTGGGGCATATGTATTTGGTGCCTCCTTGTGCCAATATCTGTGTTGAAATAAAAAAAACGTTTCGTTACTAAGTCACAATATAAAATACCGTGGAACGAAAAATTTAAGGATATTTCCTTGTCTAGAGACATGATTAGCAAACTAAACTCGAGACATAAGTGAAAGCTTTGCTTAGGATTGTCACAGAAGATACGGTTGTTAAAGAGTGAGAATTAACAGTTCAGTTTTAGAAGTCGCGACTTGTTCCTTAAGTAAGACGGACACAAAGTAATTTCAGGTTGAACAAAATGATTAGAATATGTATAAGAACAATGAGTAAGGATTGACAGATTATTAAACAAACAGGAAACATAGTCCATATATTTAGGAGTCATGATACTATGTGACGAATTGTTGATGTGATCGAAAATGAAGCAGATTGAGACAACTTCCCATATACAATCGATTTTAATATTAAAAAAAATAAATTGTACACCACAGAAGGCAAAATAAAGAACAACATGAATGGAAGAACAATGCACTTCGTAAGAGACAATTCAAGAAAGATGTGCATATAGTGTATTTAATGTGTTGTTTTCATGTTTTAAACAGACACTGCGTAATTTTTCATAATATAACTGATTTCCTCTGCCCAAGCCTTCATTGAATACAATATGAAAAAAATTGAGTTTGAAGAAAGGTATTACAACAACTAACCTACATCATATTCAGTGTACTACTTACATCTTATTATAAATAGATCAAGAAAAGTACAATATCACAAGAAAGAGCATTACGTAGAACTGCCAAGTCTTTTAATTATGACATAATTGTAGGAAATCAACATAAATAGGAAGGGGCTATGAATGTTTGAAACAAAAAACGATTAGTTAACAGTATAGTTAGAATTGGGGGAAGGCAATAAATACAAGTGACACAAAGTAACGAGCAACGGCATAAATGTAAGAGATTAATGTAACACAGGTTTATTATATACACTTTATATATATATATATATACTGAAAAAATAAGGTAGGACTTCGGTTTATTTTTCAAAATGTAATTTAATTAACTCATCAATTCTGTGGAGATCCTTCAAGGAATACTGTGCACTACCACGAGGAAGAGGTTTACTCTATAAAAAAAAAGAAACAGGAATGATGTAATTATTAGTTCAATAAATTATCTGTTTCGTCTGTTTTAAAGGGGCACTTTAATACTTTATTAATGATTTGGAAATAAAAAAAAGATTAAAGATGATCAGATTAAAAAATGGGTCTAAAAAAATGGTCACCGAATTTTGTTTTAAGCACAGTGAGATGTAGACTTTCTAACTAAAGATTTTTGTGATCATAAAAACTATCGGTAATCTCAAAAATTGATTAAAGTTGCCGAAATCACGTCAGTGTATTTTTACACCTAAATATGAAACATCATATAACCGTTTATTCATTTTTATTTATCTGACAATAACATATTGTGCATATAAATTTTCTCCAAATAAAAAGTACTGCTTTAGGACTAGTTTGAGTTAATCAGTCATAATTAAGACAGGGAGCCTAGTACAAATATTCGTCAGCCAAAGTTGTCATACCACCACGTAGGCAGGATGAAATAAAATGAACAAGATGAGTAGCGAAGAAGTCGAAACAATCAACTCATTGAAGTGAATCAGTAGCTTAGTCATTAAGCTTTTAATCAATATGATACAAGTCCAAACTCCAGTTAACTTATTTTAGTATGGGGCAATTGGATAGTGTTATAAACTCGTGGACAAAAAGTATGACTGAAAGACGATTATAAGAATCGGTACTTGATTGCTGGGTTGGATTGAATTAAATTTCATTTAACAATTTGTTGTTATCAGTAAGTTAAGAAACATAACAAAGAAGAGTATTTATGAGGGGTATTCATTTTATAAATGGGTAAGGTCATATATTACACTAAAGTCACAAATATGCATACAGGGAGGATATTGCCACTTCGCTGAATAATTAATCATATGTTCACAATTAGTAGGGACTTGGAGTACCTTAAAATACAGTTCGACTCACAGTCATAAAGATGTATTACTTGGTATTCGACTAGGATTTAGAGGTTTAAAATACTTCAGTCAACACATAACGAACAATGATCACTTACTTGAGAAGGATCAGGTTTCCATCCAATAAAATATAACAGCCGATACGTTGCCGGAATACAGCGTTCATTCTCTTCATCTTCACGAGGAACACTGAATTTCTCTATAAAAAGTGATACAATTTGAATTTATTAACTAGCAACATACAAGATTTGAAAAACAATAGAGATATATAAATATTTGTTGCATATCTATGAAGTAACTAGATTATATATCTTTATATCCCTTTCATTACAAACTTTTGTTTGACCTACTGACTATTATTATACGATTTACTATTCTTAAGATATTCCCAAGTTACCAGTTACAGTATCCCACTCTCACAGCCCCTATTGGCCTGATCTCGTATAATTGTTGTTTTCCATTTTATGGTGTGATGCGATTTATTTTGCTTGTATATGAACTGCGTATGTGTGAAATACAAAATTCATACAGTGGAAGCTGAGATTGTGTTCTGGATTCAATGGTTAGGGCTAGACGAGAAAGACTCAGAGTTGACTCTAGGCTGCTCGTGATGGTTAACGTGCCGTTGGTTTGATACAGGGCCAAGTTCTATAAGTCGGTGTTCTGATTGGCGATCTTGTCACATGATAATAAATAAGGCATATATATATATCACAATTTCCTAAAATTTCTAACCATTAGGTTATAAGTGCGTCGTACACTCAGTTGGTGAAACTTTTACCTCACTACCAACTACACGACTGACACCAAAGGACAACAATTTCAGAAACTAAGGCTACTGTTTTCGTTTGTGATATAGCTAAGAAAAAAATACAGGCAATAGTTTTAATAACGGTTATCAAGCACAACGAAAAAATACAACTGCTCATTTTTTTCTACATTTAACTTTAAGTAATCCAAAAATACAAGTTCAATCTTAACTAATTAAAAGAATAATTAAGATCTACCAAAAAAATCTATTATGAAAATTTTTTTCGAATAGTATAAATAGGTTTGCAGTGTTCTAGAAAACACAAAGACAATATAGCATGTATATTAAAACATCAGTGACTTAATAAACAAAGCATATTTTTAACAAACGATAAGAAAGAAAGCACTAAATATGAGAATATATGATGGGAAGGGAAAAAAACACATATCCGCATAGGATGCACATATGCCAACAAGGAACTCATCAAGTGCAGTCCTAAATAACAATGTGAAAATACAAGTAAAACAACACCAAGTGAGTTAAAAAAGACGTTAGGTATTCGAAGGATTTGAAATTGAACTTCTAGCAGAACTATACATTGATGATTGCAACCATATTAGTTCATGATAACATGATATCAAGTAGAATTGTACAAAATCTTGCAAAATAGGGAGGGATTCGAATTCGTTAATAATTCTTATTCCATATAACATTGGTTAAATAACCTATGAAATTCTTAAGAAACGTGTGCAATGCATGAATTCACCCACAATCGTAGCTGTAAATTCAATATCCGATCAGAGTATAACGGTAAATAGTTTCGTGACTACTATCTACAGAGCTATATTCAATTAGTTTTAGTTGGTATATAGACTAACTGAACAGGCACTTCGATATTACCTACGTTTACAAATTGATTATACCTTAAATAATGGCATAGACATTTCAATTGTCGATTCCCCTATAAGATGAAATTCACATCTCGAATTCCTTTGTTGAATATTAGAGAAAATCAAATTAAGAAGCAAGTGTATAACAACGCCTGTATAAGGAACATCTTTAAACTCACAAGAAAACTATATTTGAATTACACAGCTAACAATTTCAACAAAGGATGACTTTATATCTTGTCAAAATATGTCCATCTGAATATTGTGTTTCATTTGAACAACAAGACAATTAAACCAAAAAATATGATAGTACAATAACGATTATTTACCATTGTAAATTGCAGAGGCTGCAAATAGAACATCACGATTCAAACGTAACGGTCTATGAACAGTAGCATTAGATTCACCCATAAATCGTAGATCATTCATTAACGCAAATATATCTGGATAGTGAATTACAATTTCATCGATATCCTAAGAAAGTTGAAATGAAAATATTTATTGATAAAAAGTGACAAAAAACAAATGACTGAGTAATTAAGTGTTGGAGATTTACATTTTTTTGTATGCCACATTTAGTTGTGCAAATAATTGTGTAATATGAAAGATAAAGAAA